TGGCGGGGGAATTCTGGGAGTTGAAGTCCACTCATCTTAAAGTTGCCAAGGTTGAGAAACATTGATCTAGAGGATCACAGGTTCTTCACCCTGACCTATCTAGCTTCAGCAGACTGCAAGCTTCTTAAACTTTCCAACTTGTGATTAACATTTTTTTTTACACATACCACATGGTGAGGCCCTTTCCCTAGAATTTAACTGACTTTCCTATCTCCATCCCACCCCATTGTCCAAATTGTCAGTAGAGCACAAAAAAGGTGCAAGTTTCATGTATTTATATTTTAACTCTGGGCTTGGAACTTCACTTTCCTTTAAATGTGAAAGGTTGAAGCAATGGGAATAAAGATGATAAAAGTGAGAAGGTGGAGGGGGGACAATCAGAATCATCAGTGAGTAAAACTGCTAATAGTTGTATCTGTTCCTTTAAGAAAAAACAAATTACTATGTCATAAAAAAATCGCCTAGGGTAGAAAAGCTGCTACTGAGGAGAGGAGGGGAAATGGTTCAATAAGGCAGCCCTTTGCAGCTACTGGGTCAAAAGAAAGGATGAATTCATTGCTCTTTGCTGCCCTCTGGAGGCCTGTCAGAATACTTTTACCCAGACAATTTTCTCTTGAAATCAAACAGCTGCACCAGAGGTGAAGGAAAACTTGATACAGCTGAAGGGCCTGCCCAACTGGGAGGACTCTCAGTAGGAACTTTCTGGGCCTGAAAGTTCTAATGACTTCTTGTGTCTCCTGACTGGCTCATTGTTTTTTGGGGAGGCTTATTCAGAAGTCAATATCCTGCTGGTAAGAGAGACCCAGGGAAGGAAAAAGTGGGAAAACCAGGCCTTTTAATGTGAGTGAGAGGTCAGAAGGCATTGATGAGAAGAACAGGCAAAGCAAGCAGGACACTTTTAAAGGAAAAGGCCTGCAGAAAAATGCCCAAGGAGGTCATATATGAAGACAGGGAAGAATAGGGGAGGTGTTTTCTAGGAGGGGTACAGCATAAAAAGCAAAGCCATGTGCCTTTCTGTTTTCTGAGCACGTAAGATGGGTTAGGCCACTCTTAATACTTTCTCCACCAACCAAAAGACACAGCTGTACTCCACTGATCCTGCTCATTATATCAATCCAATTAAGCCATTTTCATTCTCCAATGTCCCCATTATTTTGAAGGATTATAAATGAATGGATGTCAATCCTGTTACAGCATATGAGACCAAAACTACAGAGAAGGCAGAAGTTCATGGATCTCGTTCATAAATAATGATTGTCATAAGAACTGATCAAAGATCTGACCATGGACAAGATCTTACACATGTTTTTATGCCTGTTGCACTATATTTATATGCACAAATTATCCCTGCATCTGTGTAAACCTCCCACAATGCATTGGCTATACTGAAGAATTATGG